AGGAGAACATTGGCGAGGTGGAGCATGTCTGCTAAGAGAGAGAGAGAGAGAGAGAGAGGTGGTCAGGGTGGTGGGCAAGTCTCTATAACATCAATCAGGCATCACACTTTTCATGGAGGAAAACACACTACAGTAATCAGGTTGGTTCATTCATGATTCTGCATTCTTGTTATGGTGTCTATGTCATTACGGCCCATCTAGGGGCCTCGTCGTAAAACTTCCTGCCGTGGCTCTTCGGTCAATGCCTCTACCGTTGGGGAGCCGGCCCCTGATTCTGTCCCTGGCCCTGGCCCTGACGGCCGTACGGCTGGCTCTGCAGCGGGTGCGGCCTGCTCTCGACCGGGCTCAGGTTGTTGCCAGCCGTGAAGCTGTACGCGGACGAAGGCATCCGGTTCACGCCGGTTGTGTTGTTGTGATATCCGCTTCCATATGCTTCGGTCGAAGACTCCTCGTCATAGGTCTGAAGCCGCGAGGTTGTTGGGGCCAGATGGGCGCCGTGGCCTTCTGGCTGGCGCGAGTCAACCAAGGAGAGATTTGAAAGACCCTCGCCAGCCTTGCGTCTACCTCCGCGCGTGCTAGCGCGCTTCACGAGCTCCGAATGACTGCGATCCATGTCGTTAGAACGGCGGTGATCCTCGGATCGACGTCCTCGGACATCCGAAGGTGTTTGATCGTCACCCAGTCGGTAGCCCCACTCCTCGCCGTCTGCAGGGTCCCTAACATTAAGTCCCGCCATGGCTTGCCTCTCCTTGGTCGAGTCGGAATCGGCACCAGCGGCGGTCTCCGTCTCGTGCGGAATCAAGCGCGCAGCCTCCTTTTTCTTGGCCGCTTCGTCGCGGGAAGCCGCAGCAATCTCATCAGAGACAGAAACAGAGTATGTGGGGTTGGTAGGGCCACCAAGAGCCTCGGCACCACCGCCAGGCGCGTAGATGGGGACCTTCTTGAGAGACAGGACCAGAGCGCACATGAACTTGGAACGTCGGGTGGCGCGAACAATCTCGTTGTGCCAGTTCGACTTGTGCTTGATGACAACATCGAGGGCGAGCTTGTCCAGGTCGCCAACGCTACTGACACCCATGGCAACATCGGGCTGGAAATCGCGCGAGTTGTCCGAGTGGCGAACAAACGCCTCCATCTCGTGGCGAAGTGTCTCAATATCCTCAAAGGACGTGTCGTACGAGATGTGAATGGTGATGACCTCCTTCATGGCCTTGCTGCGGGACACATTCTCAATCCACAAATTGTTCAAGACAATGTTGGGAACCTGCCATTGGTCAGTCAAAACTCAAAATACGGTTTCCTCTGGCTGGGCAGAACGAGCGTACCTGTACGACCTGCATCTTGTCGATGCGAGTGAAAACAGTGTACAGAAGAGAGATCTTGTCAACGACCAGCTGCAGCTTCTCCGAGCCCTGAATGTCGACGCGGTCGCCGACATCATAAGGATGCTTGACGAACAAGAAAGATGCAGGAACCGAGGAACTCTTGCGTGGTGACGGCGAAGACGAAAGACAGCGACAAGAGGGCCGTGCCAGCAGTAGCAACAGTCGTAAGGAAGCTGCTCTGGAACCACGCGAGGAAGATGAAGATGACGATGAGGAGGACCCACGAACATCAAAACCCTTATCGAAAACACGCAGGGCCTGGCCAATGTCTTTCATGCCCTCGGTGATTGCCTTGCGCTCCTTGCTCACTTCGACAATGGAACGAGTCATTTCGTCAAGACTGATGTCGCCATTCATATCCCCGTCAATGGCGTTGAAAGCCTCTTCAGCTTCATCCTTGTACGAGGGGCCGAGGACTTCTTGAACATCTTCGAGGTACAGAGAGTCGTTGCCCTCGCACACGAAAGCCATCCAGATGCGGCGTGCCAGGGCTTCGGAGGACTTGGTCTTCTCGAGGGCCTCAATGACGATGGAGTGGGCCGAGTTGGGATTGAAGACCTGCTTGCCAGTGATCTCGGACGCAACGTTGCCAAAGGCTGCCGTCACCTTGTCGCCGACACGACCAATGTTGCCGACAAACTTGAGGGGCACAGCGGCCCCGCCAACTTTCTTGCCAGTCTGGGCGAGGATCGAGTCGGAGATGATGTCGTCGTCCTCCTCAAACTCGGCGCAGTACATGGGGAAGAGGGTGCGAGAGGCGTCGTACAGCAGGCCGAGGAGGTGTACCTCGCGCTTGCAGGCCTTGATGCGAAGGGCGAAGGACCGCTGGTGATAGGAGATACCAATCAGCTGGACAATAGCCTTCTCGGCAAGGTAGACGGCGGCAGATGAGAACAGGGCGCCGAGAATGGTCACGATGACCTTAACCCAGTGGACGTTGTTGAAGCCGCCGAACAGTCCGCGAAAGGTGAGCCAGGAGGCAAGCGCCCAGAAGAAGAAGGACATGGGAATCTGGAGGTTCTGTAGGACCGTAGCATACTTGCGCGTGCCCGTGCTGACGACACCGACGACGAACATGAAGACGCGCGGAAGAAGCCAGGCGACGACCTTGCCAGCCCACAAGGTGAGCCACGCAATCTCGATCCACAGGAAGAGACGGAAGAGCGCAGGGCCGGGGGTTCTGTTGCCATCGCCGTCCTTGCTGCTCCTGCCCACGGGAAGGTCATTCCTGTGGCCTGTGATGGGGAGGACAACCAGAGGTATGGCGAGAAGAATACCGATGGGAATAATGTAGACGAGGTAGCGGGTAACGACTGAGGCGCCAATGATCTTCTTGTAGAGTCGGCCCATGGCGTTGAGCGAAACTTCTTCGGAGCCACCTGTATCGTTTCTCGAGAGCGCCTTGCCCTTGCGGCGACCGGCGCGGCCCCGGGCATGCAGCTGCTGTTTCTCGTCGGGTGTTTCTTGGCCAGAACCGGAGCCGTCCATGGCGATGTTCATGTTGGGGCGGCGAGCGCCTGTGGAGCTGGCATGGCTCTTCACCTGCGTGAGAGGAATGCCTTGATCCTGCACCATTTCTTTGGAATGGCTGCGCCGAATGGGGATGAAGCCGCTGTGTCGGGGGGAGAGGGTCATCGAGGCAGCCCCGGCGGCAATGGTCGGAGGCGTTACTAGGCTTTTAGTTGGGGAGGAAAAAGAGCAAGGGCGCGGACCCTGAGGAGTGAATGACGATGCTCGGCAGGTGAGTAGCTTGGACGAGGGGATCCGGATCCACACCTCTGTGTTGTAGGGAGAGAATTGCTGGAAATCGAAACGTCCGTTCGGATGCACACGAGACGAGATGGCGTCCCAACGTCAAACGTCGAAAAGAGAAGTCGGGGCGAGAAGACCCTAGGTGAGCGAGTCCAATGACGACAAGGCCAATTCCAAGTAACGACTGACTGGCGAGGAGACTTGGTCTTCGTCAAATTGCGGTCGAGGGAATTGGGGGGGGAGAAACAAGGAAATAGTAGATAAGAGGAATAGGAGGAATAGGAAGGAGGGCTGAGAGGGAATTGACAGAAGCGAGCGTGTGAGGCGGCGGATCAGCAAGGCATTTCAAGGAACGTGGAAATCGACAATCTGAAGCACCTCACAAGCCGGCTGCAAGACGAGGATGACGATCGGTAGGGGTCCGCTGGAGCACGACTGCCAGTTCCGTCTACAGTACGCCAGCGATCAGGGGACACAGTCTGGACACGGTCTGGTGGGTCCACAGTGAAGGGCCTTCGGTGGGGTCCTGGGCCTGCAGGGGGCGCGCCACGGTTGCCACTGTCTAGCGTTTTCCTTGGTTCGTGCCTGCTTCGTGTCTCCGTGGGCATCCCTTCCCACGCCTACCCACTGCGTCTACCCACCGGCAAGGCGTGCCTGGCGGCTGGCGGCCACCGGCTTTCAGGGGCGTGAGACAGCTAACGGGCAACAGCCAGGCGGCCGCCTGTTCCTTGTTTCATGCTCGAGGAACCACAGAACTACAGAGGTCCCAGTCAGCGAATCATCGCCTGGCCCTGGGAGGCACTGGGAAGGGTTCCGCACCACCAGCACCATCCCCAGTCCCACCAAGCAAACAATCCATGTACACATCAATCTCCATTTCCACTGTTGCTCTCGACACACTCGACTCGTCGCCCTCGCCCACGCTTCAAGCAAGGCGACGCGTACTCCCGTACTCAAGCAAGATACCCGACCACTTGGCTTGGTCCGTCTTGGTTTGCTTTCGAACGGCCTGGCCATTCCAGCCAGTCAGCCAACCGCCATGACAAACTTTGACAGCCAACGAAATCCGCATTGGGGACCAGGCCTCCTGGTTCGCCCGCCGCGCGCTTACATACTCGCCGTTTCTCCTGGCATGATTCCATCGCTGGCCTGCACACACGGAGGCTGAAAAAGGTGTTCAATGGACCACAACGACACAGACTACCAAGCACATGGCGCATGTAGACCGAGAAAAAAAAGAAAAAAAGGGCTGTGAGCCAGCCACAGTGTGTTTGCGCGAGTCACAGCACCCTGTTTTTCTTTCGATTCTGCTCCAGCGTGCCCGTCAACCCGGATCGTCGCCCCAACCTGGCTAGGCAAAGTTGCAGCGGGCGTCCCACCACTGCTACGTCCCTACCAAGATTTCAACCCTCCAGCGGACCTGGAGGATATGAGCTTAAGCGAGG